CACCTGGCGCGCACCCGGCTCTCCCGGCCCCGCCGCGCCTACGCGTGGCCGGTGGGAGGGTAAACTGAGGCTGGAGGGGGACCGGATCAGTCCGTTCGTCGCTGCCTGGATATGCGGGGGCCAGGCTCACCCACCTGGCTGACACGGACCCGGGTGAGATGAAAGCGTGGCCCCTGCCCGGGCCCCAAGGTGCGTGCGCTGCGCACCCCGCGGTGCTTGAACCGCGGACGGACACTTCGCTGGCCGCGGTCCGCGTGGACTTGCCTCGGTTCCACGTGGTGCTTGTGCCCCCGGCGCGACGCGCAGACCCAGGATCTCTCTCGGCTTTCTCCCCAGAAGCGGCGACTCGCAGGGAGCCCCCGGCCCTCCCGGGACGCGTGCCTCGGTTGCTAGGACGACGCGGGGAGAGCGGGGTGGGGGGGGCGCGCCTGGGCCTGGCAGACCCTCACCCCCGCCGCACACCTGGAGACTTAGCGTGCGGGGAGAGGGGATTGCACAGTGATACACAGAGGGGGACACCATCAAAAACACCTGCCCGGAGCGGGGACACCCCCTCCCCCCACCCCGCCGCGGGGCCACAGGTGCGGGAGCCCTCCCTCATCCTCATCCCGGCCTGCGCACCCGGGCGGAAGGGGGAGACGCGCAGCTGGGCGGGGACCCCGTCCAGACGTCCCGGAGGCGGGCGCAGGGAGGGAGGAAGGGCGAGGCGGGCCGAGGGCGTGGGAGCACCCCGCTTCCGCCCTGGGGGTCTCTGCAGGCGTGCGGTGGAGATCCCACAGCCTATCCTGGTCAGCCACTTCCATCCAGGGCCTGGCCTCTCTAAGGCGCTGCCCGGAGCTGGTGGCCTTTCCAGCCCAAGGCTGCATCCTCCAGGCCTTCCCAACCCCCAGCCCGCGGGGCCTCCCCGAAGGCAAACAGCCATTAGATAAGCTCGGAGCTGTTGACTGAGTGAGCCTGCGTCCTCAAGAAGGACCCTGAGCGGACTTTGCCTCTGCCGTCCCGCGGCCAGCCGCGCAGCGCGCCCTCCCAGGTCGCCTTTAAGGGTTCCCCAGTTGGAAGAATACACCTGGGAGAAGGTACTGGGTCTGCACTCCAGGGCTGCCACCTGGCCGACCTCTGCCAGCTCAGCCTGGGCACATCTGGGACCCAGAAAGGCTTTTCCTGCCTCTGTCTGGCGAATACAACCAGCTTTGCCTTCTCAAAGCCTGAGCCGGCTTCCCAGAGCGGAGAGGTTGAGACCCGGGGCAGCCTCGCTCTGTCCAGTGTCCATTCCTCCGATGGAGGGGATCCCAGGCAGGGAACCCCACATGCGGCTTAGCAAGGGCAGTTGTGAGGACTGCCCTGAGGCCTTGACTGCCTCCTAGAACAGCTGCCAGGCGGCTATTGCAGAAGAGAGGGTGGGTGCCCTACCGGTTTTCTTCTCTCCGAGCTCCACTCTAGGTAAGGAGACCTGGATGCCACCCCCTTCCCGCACTCCGAACCCCCACACATCACTTTCCACTAATTATAGAGCAGAATTTAGGTTAACAGACTTCCTTTTAAGAAGGCAATTGCCCATGGGAAGGTGAAGCCGTGGGTCACTCATACCTTAGTGCAAATCATTTTATAAATTTAAACTGCTTGCTCTCCCCCCGCCCCCAGCACAGGGAGTGCTAGTTTGATAGGACAACTGGAACATGGAGTGGGTGCTGGGCGGACAGAGAGCTTCAGCCAGAAACACAGAGGGTGGGGAAGAGAGCCAGTGTCAGAGCGCAGGCTCACTTCTGGCAGGAGGCAGGCTGTGTGGGGCGAAAGGGGGAGCAGGTATTCTCAAGGCTTCTAAACAAAGCTTAGACAGGGGACTCTGAGCTAGGATGCAGCCAAGCCCTGCCCGCTCAGCCTGCTGGGTCCTCCTGTGCTAAAGTCACCCTGGCTTTTGCCCATGATGCCCAAGTTGCCTCTGTGTGTTGGTTTTCTTCCTCCTTCCTTCCTTTTTCTTTCCTTTTTCTGATCCTGGGGCTCAAATTCTGGGTTTGGTCCCTGTTCTTGAGCTCCTTTTTGCTCAAGGCTAGTAGTGCTCTACCACTTGAGCCACAGTGCCACTTCCAGCTTTTTCTGTGATTAATTGGAGATAAGACTCATGGACTTTCCTGCCTGGGATGGCCTTGAATTGCAGTCCTCTGATCTTAGCCTCCTGAGTAGCTAGGATTACAGATGTGAGCCGCAGGTGCCTGGCTTCGTGTGTTGATTTCTAAAGGAGGGTTGGGCCAAAGGATGAAGCTCTGGCCTTCTTGGCATCTCCATCTCACCTAGTTATATCAAAAATCTGCTTCCCAATACCCTTACAATAAAACATCTCACCTGCTCAAAAATATCTTTCCCTGCCCGTTCATGAGAGAAAATCTCCACCCACTTACCTACCAACCCACCCACTCAATGATTCTCCAAACGCTCTTTGGATACATTAATTTGTGAATGCATTATGTTCCCCGTGGAAAGGCACCTCCCGTGGAAGGTTACCTGAGTTGGAAGATAGCAGTGAGTCAGGTTCCAGACACTAGCATCAACTCCTGTTTGACTGCATCCATGACTGACAGGGCTGCTAGATCCTGTCATAAGAAACCTAGGGAGGCGGCAGCAAGGGCTCTGCTGGGATAATGCGCATGAAAGGCCTTTGTTTCCTGCCCAGTTAGAACCACCAGCCTTAGTTGCTGCTGCTCTTAGCTCCTGTGAGATACAAAACCAAGGTAGGGAGAGTAGGAGGCGGCCCCATTTCACCTTGGCATGGGGACAAGTAGATGCCATTATCACACATCAGCCAGGGGCTGGTGTACCACTTCAATTTTTTTAATTGAGACTAGGTCTCACTAGGTTTCCCAGCCTGGTCTGTGAACTAGTAGGCTCAAATGATGTTTCTGCCCCAGCCTTCTTTGTAGCTGGGACTACTGGCATGTGCTGCCAGTCCTAGCTCAATGAACCCTGTTTTTAACCAGGCCCCCCTTTCCAGCTTTAGCTTCCTCATGTATCCTCAGGACCCCAGAAGAAAAGATAGTTCATTCCTTTTCCTGACCAAACCCAAGATTGGTTCTCCTTCCACTGTGTGTGTGTGTGTGTGTGTGTGTGTGTGTGTGTGCGCGCGTGCGCGCTGATCTCTGGGCTTGAATTCAGCCTGGGCACTGACCCTGAGCTTTTTTTGCTCAAGGTTAGTTCTCTTCTATATGAGCCACAGCTCCACTTCTGGCTTTTTTTATGCTTAATTGGGAATGAGTCTCATAGACTTTCTTGCCCAGGCTGGCTTTGACCCTCGATCCTCAGATCTCAGCCTCCTGAGTAGCTAGGATGACAGGCGTGAGCCACCGTGCCCAGGTCCCCCTTCCACTTAGGGTGGCTACAGAGGTACAGCTTTTTTCTTTTGTCATTACACCCATTCTGGTCCCGCTATCCCAAATTCTGTCTTTAGACTCGTAAGCCTACCTGAAGTTCCTATCCACCCCCTTCCTTTGGATAAAGGGAAGGTGTGGAGCCAGTGGAGAGAGCACCACAGCAAATCCCGGTGTTTCCACAGAAATCAAAGCCCTCCCAGCCAGACAGAAGGGTAACATGGGCTCTGGAAAGTGCTAGGGCAGTTGGACCACGGGGAAGGAATTGAAGTGGTAGAGTCAGAAACTTGGACCCTGTAGATGCAGAATGTTAGGAGATGCTAAGTCCTCTGAGCCCCCTATAAAATGAGCGTAATAATGCCACCTCTCGTGCTTGCTGGGTCTGGGCGTCATAGCATGATTGCGAGTGAACGCGAGAGAAGAGGACTGGGATGGGGCTAATGCACGTGGTACATAATCACTTCCCTGGAATTTTACTTGAGGGTTTGGAGGTGGGGAGTTTTATAATAAAACTTGGATTTTATTATGTTAGCAGAATGCAAGCCTTGTATGTATTTAAAGATTTTAAAAGGGAGTTCTGAAAGAGATGTCATGCTGCTAGTGGGCTGCTTCTGGCTACACCCCCAGATCCCCAGGGATTGGACATGTGATCACACCCCAGCGTGCCATGTAGGAACTTCAGTAGCAATGGGAGAGCAGGGCTGTCTGAAGGAAGATGCGAAGGTGCCTGGCATGCAGCAGGCAGTCAGTAAATGGTGGCTCGTGTTAGGGCAGCCGCTACGTCCTCCCAGAGGAAACAGGCCCACACAGATGACAGTACTTGGTTGTGTTCACTCAGCCAGAAAGTGAGAAAGCCAGGACTGGAGCCAACTGTTCGATGCTTTGTCACCAACCCCCATCTCCTCCCTGTGTGCAAGGCTTTATGGTCAGCAGCCCTCCGCTCCCCAGTTCTCCCTCTCCACATTCTCCTGCAGCAGGGATGTTGGCTTCTAGTCTAGTCTCCTTTGAAAAGCAAGCATACCTGCAAGGGGGCAGTGGACACACAGACCTGTGTGCTTCACAGAGGAGACACATCATGGATGAATTTGGGGAGGGAAGCAAAAAAGATCCAGAATATATGAGATACTTTCAGGATTGGATAGAGTTCCTAAGTCATGGGGTTTTCTGTTCTTTTTTTTTTTTTTT